TTGTTGTTCCGGTTTTACGTCACAGACTCCCTTTTCAACCAAGGGCTAGGACGGTTGCCTTCTTTCAAAGGACTTGTTTTGGCAGATGTAATCGCTACCCTGAGTGCTTGCCCTTGCTAACCTCAGACCGTGACGGGGCGCGAACTCTCGACCTAGCGCCTCAGAGTAACGGACGCTACCGATTGAGCCACGGTGACTACAGTGTCTCGAGGCTAAGCCAAGAAATTACGCTAGATTATTTAGACTTCTGGTTATTTCCTGGCTTATAGACATACATACTTACATACATATACACATGGCCTCATATCCCCTTGTATGGGGGGTGGCCGAGCCAAGAAACACGCATACACTCGACTCACACATACCTGAGCCACTCCTCTCAGCTCCTTGGGGATGAAGGGTTGCCACCGTTTCCCCCCTCCCTTCCTCCCAGCTTGGATCACTCACAAAGTACTAGGGCAACTATATTCGACAATGAGTCACCGATAGCCGCAGCTGGTTTACCCCTACAAATATATTTCCTATCAAGTAGTGTTAAGTAATATGTAAATTTAACTGGCAAAACATTCCTTTATCAACATAATAATCAATATATTCTTCAAATTTATGGTTCCGGTTTTACGTCACGGGCTCCCTTTTTACCAAGGGCTAGGGCGGTTGCCTTCTTGCGCTTTTGAAGTATTTTGGTCAGGTTTTTTATATATAAATTTTTTTTCCAAAAATTATCGTAAATTTTGTAATGGTCCCCCATTGTCATTTTTTTTTTTCAAAATTCCTTCTTTGCATTGCATTTGGGTTTAACAGTTATTATTCCAAGTATTCTATGCAAATCCCACTCTTTTGAAGTATTTTGGTCAGGTTTCTTATATATAAATATTTTCCAAAAATTATCGTAAATTTCGTAATGGTCCCCCATTGTAATTTTTTGGAATTTGGATTTTTTTTCAAAATTCCTTTTTAGCATTGCATTTGCGTTTTACAGTTATTATTCCAACTATTCTATGCAAATCCCACTCTTTTGAAGTATTTTGGACAGGTTTTTTATATATAAATTTTTCAAAAATTATCATAAATTTCGTAATGGTCCCCCATTGTAATTTTTTTGGAATTTTTTTTTTCAAAATTCCTTTTTAGCATTGCATTTGGGTTTTACATTTATTATTCCAACTATTCTATGCAAATCCCACTCTTTTGAAGTATTTTGGTCAAGTTTTTTATATATAAATTTTTCAAAAATTATCGTAAATTTCGTAATGGTCCCCCATTGTCATTTTTTTAGATTTTTTTTTTCAAAATTCCTTTTTAGCATTGCATTTGGGTTTTACATTTATTATTCCAACTATTCTATGCAAATCCCACTCTTTTGAAGTATTTTGGTCAGGTTTTTTATATATAAATTTTTCAAAAATTATCGTAAATTTCGTAATGGTCCCCCATTGTCATTTTTTTGTTATTTTTTTTTTCAAAATTCCTTTTTAGCATTGCATTTGGGTTTTACAGTTTTTATTCCAAGTATTCTATGCAAATCCCTCTCTTTTGAAGTATTTTGGTCAAGTTTTTTATATATAAATATTTTCCAAAACATATCGTAAATTTCGTAATGGTCCCCCATTATCATTTTTTTGGATTTTTGAATTTTTTTCAAAATTCCTTTTTAGCATTGCATTTGGGTTTTACAGTTATTATTCCAAATATTCTATGAATGAGTTGCTTTGTCAGATGTAATCGTTACCCTGAGTGCATGCCTCTTGCTAACCTCAGACCGTTACGGGGCGCGCACCCTCGACCTGACGCCTCAAAGTCGCGGACGCTTCCGCTTGAACCACGGTGACTACATGAAGTGTTCACATGAAATAGATTAATAAGTCTGATTTAATTGCCCGATATTTTGACCTTTGCCATACTCTTCTGTTTAACAAAGAACAAAAAACAAACACATGATAAACAGCTTATTTATGGTAAATATTGGTGAATCCTAACTAATTGAAGCTTAATAATTTTATTTATTAATAATTCAGTAATTGGATTAATACCATGATTATATTAATGTTCGTTTTGACTGACGCAGAAGCCTGTTACATTTATCTGTTCAGCTTTTAACAACAGAATCAATACGGATTTCGCTGTTTTAATATTTTATAAATGGTTTTTCTAGTTTGAATTAAACTTTCAATATTAGGATATTTTGTTGTTTCACAATCCATCTAAAACAGACATTGACTCTTTCAGGATAACCTTCAGGAAATAACTGAAATTAATATTTACATGAATTTAATGCAAGACTTGTGAATTGTGATATATCTTGGGTTTCAGTAGTGATATTTCATAGTTAGTTATTGCTTTTAATGCACCCACATTATATTAACAATGAGTTAAGGATTAGTTAATTACTTAACAGTAACTCAGACAAGCCTAATGGCTAAGATATAGACAAAAATAAGAAATGAAATTAAATATATAGATAAATAGATGAAATGATATCTAATACTTACAGAATCATGCCACTATACCGACTGGGCTACTACGACAGACCAATGTCTGAATTTCTTAACCCAGCCAGATCGAGCAAGCACTTTTCCCGTCGTTGTATATATATGTGTGTGTGTGTGTGCGTGTGCGTGCGTGCGTGTGTGTGTGTGTGTGTGTGTGCGTGTGCGTGCGTGCGTGTGTGTGTGTGTGTGTGTGTATGTGTGTAGGTAATTGTCATGAAGTAATTACAGCAGGAGGTAAACTAGAGAACAAAAATACTTCTTTATTTATTCATATGTTAATTTTGACGTTCCCCTTCTGTGTATAATGTATTCATGACGTCGAATGTATCTTAGACGTTTTCTAGCGTAAATTTATATAATTATTTAGACTGCATGAACGTATTCTTCATATATTTTATTTGTATTTTACCCCCTCTAACTTCTAATTACCTCCCATTTAAATGTCTTTTCCTTGGTGTGTGTGTGTGTGTGTGTGTGTGAGTGTGTGTGTGTGTGTGTGTGGTGTGTGTGTGTGTGTGTGTGTGTGGTGTGTGTGTGTGTGTGTGTGTGTGTGTGTGTGTGTGTGTGTGTGTGTGTGGGGGGGGGGGGGGGGGGGGGCTATATGATATTACTGGTTTTGCAGTACTTACTGTTAGACTAGGAACTGATTAGTTTTTTTATATATATTATATATTTATATTGATGCTTCATATTAATATCGTGGTCACCGTAGCAAAGCGGTAGCGTCTGCGACTTTGAATCGTCATGTCGATGGCTTTCGGCCCGCTACGGTTTGAGGTTTACAAGGGCGTGCACTCAGGGTAGCGACCAAACCTGCCAAAACGAAAGTCCTTCGCAAGAAGACACCGTCCTAGCCCTTAATAGAAGAGGGAGTCCGTGACGTAAAACCGATAAAAGAACACAAGTGGCCACCGAAAGTTTTTTTTTTTTTCTTACGGAATTTAATGCTATTTTGAATTTGACATGCAAATGCAACTTTAAATTCCTTGTTGATGTGCTGTCGGGTTGGTCCATGTCTTTTTTTTTTTTTTTTTTTTTTTTTTTTTTGAGGTTCATGGAAATTAGTTTTAATTAGGAATTGATGTTCATTTTCTTTTCATTTTTTTAAACTTTTTTGGAGGTGAAAGAAAATTACTTATAAATTGGAGTATTTTTATTTTTTATTTTTAGTGGATTATCTTTGAATTATCTATCTAGCTATATACCTGAGCCATTTCTCTCCTTATAAGGGGGGGGGGGTAGCTGAGTCAAAGTAAAAAAAAAAATTGACTTTGCGGGTAGGAAATAGAGGAGGGGATTCCCAGCCCCCTCGGTTCACCCCATTTAGTCGACTTTTACGGCACGCAGGGGAACGCGAAAGAAGTATATTGTCCCCCTCCCTCAGGGGTAATTAACCTGGTAGGAATAGAGGAGGGGATTCCCAGCCCCCTCGGTTCGCCCCATTTAGTCGACTTTTATGACACGCAGGGGAACACGAAAGAAGTATATTGTCCCCCTCCCTCAGGGGTAATTAACCTGGTAGGAATAGAGGAGGGGATTCCCAGCCCCCTCGGTTCACCCCATTTAGTCGACTTTTATGACACGCAGGGGAACACGAAAGAAGTATATTGTCCCCCTCCCTCAGGGGGAATGAACCTGGTAGGAATAGAGGAGGGGATTCCCAGCCCCCTCGGTTCACCCCATTTAGTCGACTTTTACGACACGCAGGGGAACACGAAAGAAGTATATTGTCCCCCTCCCTCAGGGGGAATTAAGCTGACCTAACCTAACCTAACCTATTCGTCATTAATGACCTTATGATAGTCTTGTACAATAAGACCAGGACTTGTGTGGAAAGTTGATATAATGAATTGACCTTACAGGGCGGTTTACACTGTCAAACGGTTCGTCGAACGCGGTTCGACAGACAAGTGTTTGACGTGATGTTCGAACGTGTGAACGGGGTAGTTGGTTGTCGAACACGTTTGTTGAACGTGTTCGAAAACCAAATACCCCGTTCACACGTTTGAACATCACTTCAAACACTTGTCTGTCGAACCGCGTTCGACGAACTGTTTGACCGTGTAAACCGCCCTTAAATGTCGAACACGAAATATTTTTGAGTTTTGAAAATGGTGTGGACTGTGTGACATTAATGGGATCATATGTCCAAATATAATTGAAATTTACCACTCTCTTTCTCAGAATTTAATGGCATATTTTTTTTTTATTTCGGTATGTTCATTTTTGTTCTTCACTTAAGAAAGGTCATAAAGATTTCTTAATGATTATTTATCAGTTCCGGTTTTACGTCACGAACTCCCTTTTCTACTAAGGGCTAGGACGGTTGCCTTCTTCCGAAGGACGTGTTTTGGCAGATGTAATCGTTACCCTGAGTGCATGCCCTTGCTAACCTCAGACCGTGACGGGGCGCGAACCCTCGACTTGACGCCTCAGAGTCGCGGACGCTACCGCTTGAGCCACGGTGACTACCTGTTTTTATATGATAATAACAGTATATATTGTAATGACCGTCATGGCTGAGTGGTAATGCTCGCGACTTTGATTCGTCAGGTCGTCGGTTCAAGACCCGCTAAAGTCTGAGGTTAGGAAGTGCATTCACTCGGGGTAACGGTCGCACTTGCCAAAACCAAAGTCCTTCTCAAGGAGGCACCGTCCTATCCCTTCCTATAAAAAAGGAGTCCGTGACGTAAAACTGAAACCAATCCCGTATGCAATGCTGAATAACCGTATTATTTATTAGCAACAGAAATGGTTCAGATCATAACAATTGAGGTGCGAAATGTCACCGTTTAATTAGAAATTGTTGCTTAGTCGCTGTGGCTCAAGCGGTAGCGTCCGCGACTCTGAGGCGTCAGGTCGAGGGTTCGCGCCCCGTCACGGTCTGAGGTTAGCAACGGCATGCACTCAGGGTAACGATTACATCTGCCAAAAAAAGTCTTTCGCAAGAAGGCAGCCGTCCTAGCCCTTGGTAGAAAAGGGAGTCCGTGACGTAAAACCGGAACGCTTACTCTTTTACACCAGAAAGGAAAAAAAATTCCCCTCAGAAATATTTTTTTCTTGGAAAAAAAAATAATAATCCAATTATTCCAACAAACTGCTTTCATTTCTGTCTATCTATCGATATACATGAGACTACATGCTGGCTAGTACAGTGGTAACGCGCTGGCTTCGCATTCACGAGGTCGAAAGATCGGTCCCCGTCCAAGACCGAGAGTTTAAGCTGTTTACTGGCAGGAACTGCTGTGGTTGGACATCACAGTGGGGGGTTGGGGCTTGCCCTGGCTGACGAATACCCATTGTAATGAAATGGAAATAAAGGTTAAATTTAAAAAAAAAAAAAAACTTTATAAGGGAAGTGGCTGAGTCAAGGCAAAATACTCTTGACTCACTGGGAAGAGAAAACACAGAGAAGGGAGATTCCCAGTCCCCTCGCTCCGCCCCCTTTAGTCGACTCTTGCGACACGCAGGGGAACACGGAGACAATTTTTACTGATTAATTAGTAAACACACCAATCAGAGGAGGGGAATTCCTAGTTCCCTCGCTCCGCCCCAAATAGTCGACTTTTGCGACACGCAGGGGAACACGAAGGAAGTATTCTATTGTTCATTTCAATAGTTGGTCATTAATTAGTTAACACTCCAATCAGAGGAGGGGAATTTCCAGTCCCCCCGCTCCGCCCCATTTACTCGACTTTTGCGACACGTAGGGGAACACGGAGGATGTATGCTATTGTTCATTTCAATAGTTGCTGATTAATTAGTAAACACACCAATCTTGTTGACACTGAGCTTCCATCTCTGAAAATAATAATAAAATAATAATAATAATAATAATAATAATAATAATAATAATAATAATAATAATAATAATAATAATAATAATAATGATAGTTGTTGTTGTTGTTCCGGTTTTACGTCACGGACTCCCTTTGCTACTAAGGGCTAGGACGATTGCCTTCTTGCGAAGGACTTGTTTTGGTAGATGTAATCCTTACCCTGAGTGCATGCCCCTACTAACCTCAGTCCGGGCGCAAACCCTTGACCTGCCGACACAGAGTCGCGGACGCTACCT